AAAAAACTCTTCGAAACTTATTCCCTCCAAAAAAACAACAACAAAAAAACGCAAAATCGCAATCATCTGAATTATAAATAGACTAAAAAAGAAAACGTGTAAGAAAGCGAAATGAATAAAAAGAATAATCCAGGAAGTGACGGACACACATTCCTCGGTATATGGGGACACACGTAATACCGGAGTGGACTCTCAGGCCCTTGTACAATTTCGGCAAGTGAGGACTGGGCGTGTTACCAGACCTTATGACGTCACAGCCAGGTTCTCGGATTGAAGTACCCGGAGGAAGCAGGGAGGGGAAAGGGAGAGGAAGAGGGAAGGGGGAGGGCGGAGAGGAGTAGAGGGGGGGCGATAGGGAGAGGAGGGAGAGGAGAGAAAGAAGGGTGAGAGAGAGAGAGAGAGAGAGAGAAAGAGAGAGAGAGTGAGAGAGGGAGAGAGAGAGAGAGAGAGAGAGAGAGAGAGAGAGAGAGAGAGAGAGAGAGAGATAGAGAGAGAGAGAGAGAGAGAGAGAGAGAGAGAGAAAGAGAGAGAGAGAACGGGACAAAGTCCACGTGCGATGCTCTAAGGTCAGCCAGAGCTCAGCCAGGCTCTCCCTGCAGTGACAAAAAAAGTCTGCTTTCTTGGCATGAAGCCCTTGCCTCTGATGGCAGCGGCGCTATCTCGAGTGAACGGGCGACTTAGGCACGGCGAGCGAGTGATCAGCGAGGTGAACGCTCACATGTGGCCCGGCGGGAAGGTGCGTTACGTAATGTTGCACAAGCACTACCTCTCGCCCGACCTTGCTGCCAGCTGCTTGCCAGCCTTCGTCGGGAAGACACAGCCGGAGTCCGTCGGAGCCGCCCAGCGCAGGCACTCGGAGTGACCCACAATGCGGCGACGTGACTGGGGCAAGCCTTACGGAATGGTGCCACAAGGACGAGCGATGCCAGTATGATGACTTCCCTTGCAGCATGCAAAATGCAGAGCTCGCGCTTGTCCCGTCTCCATTGACTCATGTTACTCTTGAAGCAGCACGATCCGCAATTCCCAGTTCCGCATACCTCCCAGGTTGTGTCACATCAGGTCCAACAGCTGGATAAAGGATAAGCCAGTTATGCGAAGCTGACCTCGCTCGGGCTATGCCTATGAAGGGAGCCCGGCGGATCCTCGTACAACTCCACTTCACCTACAACACCCAGCCATAACAGTGGGCTCTCACACCCACTCCAGTCACTCCTCAAAGAGATATAGACCAGTTCAAGGAGTAGTTGCCCCCCATCTACTACACTCTTTATCTCCCCGGCGCCGCGCTCGCGATAATGGGCCTCATCCTCACTTCTGGTTTCCGCCGCCGGGTTTCCTTCTCGTTTTCCATCCTTTGTTACAGAAATTTACTCGAAAAGTAACCATCTACTTAAGCATGTTATTTTCTCAAACTAAAACACGTCATACACGTATAGACAGACTTTATTTAGTTATACAGACGTCTCCAGACGCTCAGCAAAGTCTATCGTCTAGAAGCTCAAAAGCTTGAAGGTCTCTTAGCGAAGAGACTCAGATGTCTCCCTCTCTGCTTGCATTTAAACATTGCATAAAAAGAGAAACTGTTAGCCTATTCTGATATTCATTCATTATGTTGTCTACATTCTTTGGCGATTTCCAGTTATTGTTCCATGCCATTTCCTTTTGTTAACATGTTATTATCGTGCCTTCTACCTGTCACTATATCCCTTTGGAGAATCTGTATTGATGTATTTGTATAACACGCACCGTTTTATAACTTCACATCCACGTACTTTTGCTTTCACTCTCATGTATTTTCGCATTTTCTTGTTTTGTTTACACTGATATCATTTATGTTAATGCTTATCCCAAGTGATATAGTATCTTTTTAGTTAGTATGGTATTTAATGACTTAACTGACAAAATGACTTAATTTTAACTGGTTGGAGATTTGTTTTATCATCAACCCTCTTAGTTTCATATCAGTCTTAATTAACTCTATTTCTATTGACTCGTTTTCTAATTTCGTGTATTGTTATTCTTATATCGCCTGTTTTATTTGCATTATTACAATTTCATATCATACTTCGTCTCAGTCCATGAAAATGCAAATTCCCAGCCTAGCCGCGGCACACCGGATCCAAAAACCTTACTAACAAAACACGTTAACCTCCCGATGAATAGCTTTACACAATTCATTCAGTCAAACAGTCATGCAACGAGTCCTTCCATCATCTATTTTCCATGTCTCTCCCATCCTCCTTCTCCTTTTTTTTCTACCTTCTCTTCGCAGTCGGAATGGTGACGCATAGTATTGACCGTCGAGTCATCCGGGCTACACTTGACCTTGGAGTATGGCACACGCGGTCGCTCTCGGTCGTCACGGAAGTTATCAAGCAGAAGGGAGAGACACAGAAAGAGGGAGAGACAAAGGGAGAGAGAGGGATGGAGGAAGAGAGGTGGGAGAGGGATGAAGGAAGAAAGGTGGGAGGGGCAAAGGAAGGGAGAGGGATGGAGGAAGAGAGGTGGGAGAGGCAAAGGGAGGGAGAGGGATAGAGGAAGAGAGGTGGGAGAGGCAAAGAGAGGGTGAGGGAAGGAGGGAGGGGGAAGAGATGTGGGAAAGGCAGAGAGAGGGAGAGGGAGAGGAAGAGAAGAGAAGGGAAGTGGGAGAGGCAGAGAGAGAGGAGGAGAGAGAGAAGGAAGTGGAGAGGCAGAGAGAGAGAGAGGGAGAGAGAGAGGGAAAGGAAGAGCAAGAGCAAAAGCAAGAAGAAGAAGAAGAAGAAGAAGAAGAAGAAGAAGAAGAAGAAGAAGAAGAAGAAAAGAATAAGAAGAAGAAGAAGAAGAAGAAGAAGAAGAAGAAGAAGAGAGAGAGAGGGGGGGGAGAGAGAGAGACAACACTATAATCTTACTAATTTCCAGCATATCATATCTTAGCAAATTACACATTATGAAGGTCAACACATCCATACATATACACATAAAAAGACAGACAGATGAATAGAGAGATAGACAGACAGATTAAGCCCTTATTAAGGTCAGCTGATGCCCTGAGCGCAATCCAATATCGGTGCTCCCCCGGCCCTTCCAGTGGTGCCTCCCTGGCGTGTCCCAGACGTTAGATAACGCCGTGGGACACAAAGCGCCCGAGAAACGCTTCATTGGGTGCCACGAATAAAACAAGTAACAAGAGATGTCAGCTCTCGTATTATGCCGCTGTATACTATACTATGTTCTTATATATATATATATATATATATATATATATATATATATATATATATATATATATATATATATATATATATATAATATATATATATATATATATATATATATATATATATATATATATATAATATATATATATATATATATATATATATATATATATATATATATATATATATATATATATATATATATATATATATATATATATATATATATATGCACACACACACGTGTCAATTAACACACAAATGGTGGGTTGTTCGTCTGTAGAGTTTATTCCACGATTTCTTCAGGTAATTAATGTTTTATTATTTTTTTTCTTTTGTCAGATATTTAAAGCACTTACCTGCATCCCATGACATCTGACCTCATGCACCAGACATCCCGTGAGAGTAATAGGGTATGTGTTTTTATGCAAGGATTTCTCGCAAACTAATATGCATTGCAGATACTTGTGAGAAGATCGATTACTATCACTTACAGTTATTTTAGGAGGAATATAATACAATTCCATATTTTTTTTAAAGACGTGAGACAAAACAACAATGATAATGATACTAAAATGAATACTTGATATGAATTATTTTAGTGTATACAGTGATAATAATGAAACATGAAGAATTGGTAGTGGAAAGTATTAAAAAGAATAGAAGAAAAAAAACGGAGAACAACGGAAAAAGACGGTAATGATAAGATGATAGGAACACAATACAGATAACAAAGAGAAAAAATGCCAGACAAGGATATTCAAATAGAAGAATGTACTTGAAACGAGGCGGAGGAACACATTCTCCGAGGCGGGTACATCTCTCTTAGCATCAAATGTCACCCATTCTCCCTTCTCTGTTTTTGTCCTCTCTCCCTTCTCCTCTTCATTCCATCCTTCTCTTCCTCTTTACGTTTAATTCTTTCTCCTCTTTCATCGTTTTTTTTCATACATTTTGAATTCTCTATTTCCTGACGTTTCCTTACACCTCTCGCTTGACTTCCTCGTCTCCCCCCCCCCTTTTTCATTCCTCAACCCCAGGCAAAGGTCGAGTAACTTATAATTTTTCATCGACCAGCCAGGTGTGTCGACAGGTAAGTGTATGTGCGCACGTGTTGCTTCCGTTCAATAATCCGGCGAGCATTCTTAGGCCAACTAAAGGGGGTTGTCACGAAGGGCGAAATTACCGGGTTTTATCATTGTTATTATCAATTTTGTTTTTCTTGTTTGCTTAATATAAGGGGTTGTTATGCATATTCCTCCTCTGTCTTAATTGCATTTAATTGCATTCAGTCTCAACATATTCGAAGTAGGTGGGATATTAACTCTCCTTGAATTACGACCATAACCTGTTTCCGTAATGTGTTTTGATATCGCATGTTTCTCGTGAATAACTTCCTCGGACGTAGAGCAGCGTGGTCAAAGAATGTTGGAGTTCGGAGTATTACCTGACACATAGTTTAGCATAAATGCTTTGCTCAGCCAAGACTTTCTGGCACACGCCACGGGTCTACTCACTCGTCTATTTCCAGCTCCGCGTTTTTTTAAAACAAACCAATTTTCAAAGCTCCCGCTTCTTTCGTTGCCTGGCAACAGGTTACGTCAAATAAGAAACTACTGTATTTGTTAGTCTGCCGTTTCGTAAATAAATAAGTCTATCAATCAAAAATACAAAATTATTATTATAGATAAAATACATATAAAAAAGATCAATAAAAGGCCAATTATAAAATTAGATGACAAACAAAAAGACAGCAAACTATAGGCTCAACAGCCGCCAGCCGAAGCGCCTGTCGTCAGTACCTTCCCCGTCAGTCTGGTCCACGCGGTGAGACCTGGTGGGTCAGCGAAAAGTTGCGGGAGAGTATCGCTCTTCATTTTTTTGTGACGTTGTGCAACAAGTGAAAATTTTTCAAAATTGCGTTAATAACTCAACAAGACGATACCAAGATGGCGGACTATTTGATCTGCGGAGGGACAAGCTACGTCCCAGAAGACGGGAATACCGGTGCTCAACTCTTCTCCACGGGGGAAGGTCTCACTTACCAGTACGTCGCCTCCAATGGCTTCTCACATTTATCGGGCTTCCTCTTTTCACGATGTCAGACCTCGCTCTCACCCCCTCTTGCTTTCAGGAGTCCCAGAAACTGTTGATGGCCGTGGATGCTGCTGCGTTTCATCTCGCTGCAATGGCACAATGCTGCTCGAAATAATGACTTTTCGAGGCCCCATGAAGTAGCCTTAGGGTCTCTGCCTTTGTCCTTTTGAGCCTCGCCGGTTAGACGTGAAAAAATTGCATGTCAGTTACTGCCGTCTTTTTTAATCTTTATTTTTTTCTCTAAGGGTTGTGAAGAGCACTCGGGGAACACGTGATGTAACTCGAGCTGGTGAAGCAAAGGGAGAGATGAAGACGTGCGATAATACGGTACACAAAGGAAAGGTTTTCTCCATAATTGCCTTCAGCACAAACGTTATTACCTGCTCGAGAGAAATTGCGTGTCATTGCCATATTTCAACATTCTACCTCTGTCTTAAACACCTCCATCTGAGTTAATAAAGCAGCCAACCTTTATTAATCAATGGAGGAAGGGGTGGTCGCCCGTAGGTCCTATTTTTAAGGCATTCACAAAGACAGACTTGAACCTTATAGATGAGTCACATAACACCCTTTTTACACTGCAGAGAACGGTATTGTCATATGTCAGCTGAGAATCCTGTGGTGTCAGTAAGTCAGTTGGATTTGATAGGCCTATTGATGCAGCTGATCTGTGGGAGGAATATGATCTGTAGTCTTTTATGTAAATCAGAGATATGACTTTTCCCCTTTAAATTTGGCCATACATTGGAAATCGGGGAAAATTTTATGTCGTAAGTCATGGATTTGCAGTCTCCTGAGAGGGTTGTCATTTTCATAATCCAGTAATTGTAAGATGTTTGGAAGTTCCAGAATAGCTGGGGAAAAAAATCAATCCGTTTTGTAACTTGTTAAAGGTCACTGTGTTGTTGTTTTGTCATTTATGGATGCATTTTGTCATTTATTTTTTTTTTGTTAAGGTTCTTAGAGGAATAATACTACAAATTCAGACAAGCATAAAGATTTTGAGTATATCAGTCTTAAATTTTCCTAAGTGGGTTCTTTATGTACTTTTAACACTGGTGTATTCTGCATTACCATAAAAAGAATTGAGTATGATTCATCATTTCCTAAAATATCATATAGTTGCAAGTATGTTGGATATCATAAATTGCTTCTTTAATGTCTAGTCAGGTTCTTTTGTAGCTTGACTATCACATCATATTTAAATGAATATGTAAATTGGCAATTTTTATACAGGTTTCACCAAAAAAAAACATGTAATATAAACCATTGAATTGTAGGATAGGTTTCATAAAAGATGTCTCTCCTCTTGAAACTAAATACCATGCTTACACAACTATAAAGAACAACATTTCAAGGAGAGCCACACAGCCTGTTAGTCTGTGAAACTGTATACCTGGAATACCTTTTTTTCCATGAAGAATAAATGATTTTTTTTTGTATGGGTATGTGTGTAGCATTGCAGTGACAACGAAGACAAACGTAATTGAGTGTAAGATTGTTTTAGGAAACTTAAATAAAGACTGTTCATGCATCCTGCTTATTTTTGGGTGCAAGTGTTGGACTGGAATTTTATTATCGGCAGGTATATTCAGTCTGTAATGACTAAGGTTTAAATTTGTCAGTGTTTCTTTAGGTATTGCTAATAAATGAAAGAGTTTGAAGTGACTGATTAAGATAAGATTATTCTTGGCATCATGATGTTCATAAAATTAGTTTTATTCAGCTTCTTTTAGTTTTATATTTATTTTGTAGGTACAAGATTTTTCTCTCCATGAACTGATTTTTCTTGGTGAAACGTCTTTCATATATTTCTATTTTGTATAATAGGTGTAATATTTTTTTCTTTTCTTTTTAATGGAACTAGTTAAGCATATTTCATTTTCTTTCCAGTGACTTCATCATTCTCCCTGGCTTCATTGATTTCACAGCTGAGGAAGTGGTATGTTATCGTAGAATGAAAGAAACTTGCAGTGAACAATATTGCTGTAACACTTTATAATGCATTTACTGTCTGTAGAATTTGCGTGATGTATTAACTACTATGCGCCACATTTTTTCACCAGTTCTTATCACAATTTACTATTATTTCTTATTCCGTTAGCAAATCTAAAGAATTAACAACTCCATTTGAAATTTGTTTTCTGTTGTATAGCAAGAGTAGGTAGGATGAAAACATAGTTGCCTTTTTTATGTATTATTATTATTTTGTTTTTGTTTTTCAGGACTTGACCTCTGCTCTCACAAAAAAGATCAGTTTGAAAGCTCCTCTGGTATCTTCCCCAATGGACACTGTAACGGAATCTGAGATGGCTATTGCAATGGCAGTATGTATTGTGCTCTGCAATATGTTGATCTTTTTATCGGTTATAATTATGATCTGTTAAATTCTTTTAGTTGATAAATTACAGTAGAAAAAAGGTTTTCATCTAGTGGATGAATATTCTTTTCTTTGGTCTGGGTATGTCTTATAATTTGACATTTAAGAGTTGATATCTTAATTATCAATTTACCTGCAGCTTTGTGGTGGCATTGGCATCATTCACCACAACTGTTCACCAGAGACACAAGCACAGGAGGTCATGAAAGTCAAGAAGTACAAGCACGGCTTCATTCGTGACCCTGTATGCCTCACTCCACACCACAGAGTTAGTATATATATTATGCATTAGTAGAGGAGACCATTACAATAAGGGAAGACAACTATATTGACTTCATAATGAGACCGTAAGAATGAGAAGGGAAGAAAACCATATTGACTTCATAACTATCTTTGATGTTTGTATGAAAAATTGTACTCAGGTGAAGGGTTTGAAGAGGTGATGGGTTTACTCAACTATCCTATGTACTGCCTGTAGCTATAGGTATATAGATTACCAGTATGTATGTAAATGTGGACAGACTTGTAGTAGTACCTATACAGTATGTGATCTGTACTACTTTACACTTACACAAGTAGATTATGAAATATCCTGTGCTTATTCAAGGAATTGTCATTTTTAGCTCCGGATTTACTTCCAAGGCTTAGGAATTAATTGTACATTCTTGTTACTTGTGAATTTTTTTTGTTCATGATTAATGTCATTGTTAAAAATTGAGGAATGATAACCTTTACAGGAATGAAACTCTATTGAAAATAAAACTGCTTTTCTTGCATAAGTATAAACAATCATCTACTCTAGCAACAAAATAGCAGGCTTTGTATTTATTCATAGAAAAGCAAAGTTTGATTTAGCTAAACAGTGTTTTTATGATTTTAGATGCATAGTATAGTGTTTATTTTCTTTCAGGTCTCTGATGTTTTTGATGTAAAGAAAAGTCATGGCTTTGGTGGAATTCCAATCACAGAAGACGGAAAGATGGGCACACGACTCCTTGGCATTGTTACATCACGAGATATTGATTTTTTGGAACCTAACTCGGACAAGCTGCTCTCAGAGATCATGACTCCCTTTGATGACCTGGTAACGGCTCCAGCAGGTGTCAGTCTTGATAAGGCTAACGAGATATTACAGAGATCTAAAAAAGGTGATTATATTGGTTGGATGTCATGTTGATGAAGAAATATTTTACTTTGGTTTAGGTACTGTGTAAGACTAATATATTGGTAATTGTTGATCAAGGTAGATCATGTAAGCAGTTTCAAATGCAGTTTTATTGGACTATTGTAAATAAGAAGACTGCTTTATCTTCCATTGGTGCTTATTTGAAAATTGTGTATATAAGGAATCACATGATACTGCAAGAGATTTTTAAGATATATTCCATAGTTCTCAAGATTCATGAATAAAATGGGTAAACATGTACTTTATTCTGTTCTGTTATTATTTTCTTTTTCTTTCTAGGTAAATTGCCAATTACAAATGAACATGGTGAACTTGTCGCTTTGATAGCACGTACTGATCTCAAGAAATCTCGCAACTTCCCAAATGCTTCATATGACGCTAACAATCAGCTTTTGGTGGGAGCAGCCATTGGAACACGAGAAACGGACAAGCATCGCCTTGAACTCCTTGTCAATGCTGGTGTTGATGTGGTGGTTTTGGTAAGTGCAGATGCCAACTCTCTGGTAAACTTGTACATTTTGAAGTTTTCTAACAGTCTGCTTTTTTCTTTTTTTATTACAAATAATTTTCAAAGAAAGAAAGAAAAAAAGTAGTCAGATATGTGAATAGAAAGGTTGAAACTCCATTAGTGATTGGAAATGTATGTTAGTTTAGGAAACAAAATGAGTTACCTCCTTGTGACTTTCATTGACAGGATTCTTCACAAGGAAACTCGATATACCAAATCAACCTAATCCGCTATATCAAAAATACTTATCCAGAGCTCCAGATTGTCGGTGGCAATGGTATGTATAACTTGGGAATTTATACTGCAAACAGTTTCTGTTAATTAATAAAGGCCTCTTTAGAATATGATGTGATATATCAGTATAAAGACAATAATTTCTATCAACTCCTCACCCATGCATTACTAAATATATATGGCATGGCCTATATTTTGGTACAAAATCCAAACCTTTTCACTGCAAAATTAGATGTGGGAATGTTGTTCGAAATCTATATATTGATGCCTACAGATACATGCTCTTGTAAATAGCAGTAAGCAGCTACTGTACACTGTAATTCATATAACCTAAAAACATGTATATGTACATATTCATATTCATGAACTGCTATTTGTTTAACATATATGCTTATTTTTTACAGTTGTAACAGCAGCACAGGCAAAGAATTTGATAGATGCAGGTGTGGATGGCTTACGAGTAGGTATGGGATCCGGTTCCATCTGCATCACACAAGAAGTCATGGCTGTTGGTCGTCCTCAGGCTACAGCTGTATACAAAGTGAGATATTACTCTTCTTATGTATATTGTAATGTGCTTTTCAAAGGATTCATTTGTGAAATCTCTAATGTATGTTATGAATATACAGAAAAAAATATGCATTTTTTTCTTGTTCTCAATTACCTGCTTTCTCCTTTCTTCCTTCCTTTCTTTGTTACTGACCTTCTGTGGCTTTTCTATATTTCTTCACTTTTCTCCTTCCCTCCAGGTGGCTGAGTATGCTCGGCGATTTGGTGTACCTGTGATGGCTGATGGTGGTATTGCCTCTGTAGGTCACATCATCAAAGCGCTTGCATTGGGTGCATCCACAGGTATATTGTGAGGAATTGTTGATAATAAAATGAAGAAATGATAAGGTAGATAAGATACATTCCTCCTCCTCTTTCTCCTTCTCCCCCTCCTCCTCTTTCTCCTTCTCCCCCTCCTCCTCTTTCTCCTTCTCCCCCTCCTCCTCTTTCTCCTTCTCCCCCTCCTCCTCTTTCTCCTTCTCCCCCTCCTCCTCTTTCTCCTTCTCCCCCTCCTCCTCTTTCTCCTTCTCCCCCTCCTCCTCTTTCTCCTTCTCCCCCTCCTCCTCTTTCTCCTTCTCCCCCTCCTCCTCTTTCTCCTTCTCCCCCTCCTCCTCTTTCTCCTTCTCCCCCTCCTCCTCTTTCTCCTTCTCCCCCTCCTCCTCTTTCTCCTTCTCCCCCTCCTCCTCTTTCTCCTTCTCCCCCTCCTCCTCTTTCTCCTTCTCCCCCTCCTCCTCTTTCTCCTTCTCCCCCTCCTCCTCTTTCTCCTTCTCCCCCTCCTCCTCTTTCTCCTTCTCCCCCTCCTCCTCTTTCTCCTTCTCCCCCTCCTCCTCTTTCTCCTTCTCCCCCTCCTCCTCTTTCTCCTTCTCCCCCTCCTCCTCTTTCTCCTTCTCCCCCTCCTCCTCTTTCTCCTTCTCCCCCTCCTCCTCTTTCTCCTTCTCCCCCTCCTCCTCTTTCTCCTTCTCCCCCTCCTCCTCTTTCTCCTTCTCCCCCTCCTCCTCTTTCTCCTTCTCCCCCTCCTCCTCTTTCTCCTTCTCCCCCTCCTCCTCTTTCTCCTTCTCCCCCTCCTCCTCTTTCTCCTTCTCCCCCTCCTCCTCTTTCTCCTTCTCCCCCTCCTCCTCTTTCTCCTTCTCCCCCTCCTCCTCTTTCTCCTTCTCCCCCTCCTCCTCTTTCTCCTTCTCCCCCTCCTCCTCTTTCTCCTTCTCCCCCTCCTCCTCTTTCTCCTTCTCCCCCTCCTCCTCTTTCTCCTTCTCCCCCTCCTCCTCTTTCTCCTTCTCCCCCTCCTCCTCTTTCTCCTTCTCCCCCTCCTCCTCTTTCTCCTTCTCCCCCTCCTCCTCTTTCTCCTTCTCCCCCTCCTCCTCTTTCTCCTTCTCCCCCTCCTCCTCTTTCTCCTTCTCCCCCTCCTCCTCTTTCTCCTTCTCCCCCTCCTCCTCTTTCTCCTTCTCCCCCTCCTCCTCTTTCTCCTTCTCCCCCTCCTCCTCTTTCTCCTTCTCCCCCTCCTCCTCTTTCTCCTTCTCCCCCTCCTCCTCTTTCTCCTTCTCCCCCTCCTCCTCTTTCTCCTTCTCCCCCTCCTCCTCTTTCTCCTTCTCCCCCTCCTCCTCTTTCTCCTTCTCCCCCTCCTCCTCTTTCTCCTTCTCCCCCTCCTCCTCTTTCTCCTTCTCCCCCTCCTCCTCTTTCTCCTTCTCCCCCTCCTCCTCTTTCTCCTTCTCCCCCTCCTCCTCTTTCTCCTTCTCCCCCTCCTCCTCTTTCTCCTTCTCCCCCTCCTCCTCTTTCTCCTTCTCCCCCTCCTCCTCTTTCTCCTTCTCCCCCTCCTCCTCTTTCTCCTTCTCCCCCTCCTCCTCTTTCTCCTTCTCCCCCTCCTCCTCTTTCTCCTTCTCCCCCTCCTCCTCTTTCTCCTTCTCCCCCTCCTCCTCTTTCTCCTTCTCCCCCTCCTCCTCTTTCTCCTTCTCCCCCTCCTCCTCTTTCTCCTTCTCCCCCTCCTCCTCTTTCTCCTTCTCCCCCTCCTCCTCTTTCTCCTTCTCCCCCTCCTCCTCTTTCTCCTTCTCCCCCTCCTCCTCTTTCTCCTTCTCCCCCTCCTCCTCTTTCTCCTTCTCCCCCTCCTCCTCTTTCTCCTTCTCCCCCTCCTCCTCTTTCTCCTTCTCCCCCTCCTCCTCTTTCTCCTTCTCCCCCTCCTCCTCTTTCTCCTTCTCCCCCTCCTCCTCTTTCTCCTTCTCCCCCTCCTCCTCTTTCTCCTTCTCCCCCTCCTCCTCTTTCTCCTTCTCCCCCTCCTCCTCTTTCTCCTTCTCCCCCTCCTCCTCTTTCTCCTTCTCCCCCTCCTCCTCTTTCTCCTTCTCCCCCTCCTCCTCTTTCTCCTTCTCCCCCTCCTCCATTAGATATATATAGCTATATATAGGCATTTATAAGATATTCATTGATAGATAGCATGGATAATCTTAACTGTTTCATCTTCAGTCACCTTCAGAATAGGTATAAAATAGTTGATGATAAGAAAAAACAAGTTCTGTTATTATAGATAGAAAATGGGTTTCATAATATGATGAAAGATCATACGGATCCTTTATCCTGCTTGCCAGCCTCAAGGCTTTGTTATGGAGGGTTTACTATACACAGGATTTGCAATGAAGAGAGAGAAACAAGTGTATATGTGTATTTATTTAATTTATTTATATTTTCTTTTTACTGAAATCCAATAAAGGTGTCTAAAAGTAATCACTGTATATGATTCAGTAAGATTTCCCAAAATCCTTTCTCAAAAATCATTATTAACACATTTTTATCCTTAACAGTAATGATGGGTTCTATGCTGGCTGGAACTTCAGAAGCACCAGGAGAATATTTCTTCAGCAATGGCGTGAGGCTCAAGAAGTACCGTGGCATGGGCTCTCTCGAGGCCATGGACCGTAAAGATACCCAGGGCGCAGCTGCCGATAGATATTTCCATGGGTGAGCACTTTAACTTTGGTCTTTCTTTATGGTAGTGATTGTAATGGATGTCTTCCTTTAAAAATTCTTCATACCATGTATAACCATTCCTTATTTCATATCTCACTGACAACAGTACATCATTGTTCATGTACAGTTCCCTGATCTCAGTACAGACCTCCTTGTGTTATCTCTTCTCCTCTTCTTTTCTCCTGTTCGTTCTCTTATTTTTTCCTGTTCTTTGCCTTCTTTTTTCCTCTTCTTCATCTTCCCTTTTCCTGTTCCTTATTTTTTTTCCTGTTCCTTCTCTTCCTTGTTCCTGTTCCTGTTTCTTCTATTCCTTTTGCATGTTGCTGTTCTTATTCCTTCTCTTCTTCCTTTCCTCCTCCATCATCTTTCTCTCCCGGCTGCTGCTGTTACTTCTCCCTTTCCTCCTCCTCCTCCTCCTCTTTCTCCTTCTCCCCCTCCTCCTCTTTCTCCTTCTCCCCCTCCTCCTCTTTCTCCTTTCCCCCTCCTCCTCTTTCTCCTTCTCCCCCTCCTCCTCCTTCTCCTCTCCTCCCCCTCCTCCTCCTTCTCCCCCTCCTCCTCCTTCCTCCCCCTCCTCCTCCTCCTCCTCCTCCTCCTCCCCCTCCTCCTCCTCCTCCCCCTCCCTCCTCCTCCTCCCCCTCCTCCTCCCCCTCCTCCCTCCTCCTCCTCCTCCTCCTCCTCCTCCTCCTCCCCCTCCTCCTCCTTCTCCTCCTCCTCCTCCTCCTCCTCCCCCTCCCCCTCCTCCCCCTCCTCCCTCCTCCTCCCCCTCCTCCTTCTCCCCCTCCTCCCCCTCCTCCTTCTCCCCCTCCTCCTCCTTCTCCCCCTCCTCCTTTTCCTCCTCCTTCTCTTTTCACCATTCACTTTGTTGTTAGTGTATTTGTTAGAAGAGAGAAATGGAGTAACTGTCAAAGTAGAAAATGGACAGGAGTCCATCAACGACTGAGAAATTCAATTATTTTGTGATAGATATTTGAGAGGCATCTTATATCTAGAGTTTGCAGAGGAAGGGGAAGGTGAGTTTGAAAGTTTTTTTTTTCCAACTAAATGAATTTGAGGGTAGATTACATCTTGACTGGAGTGAGTTTGCTTATGATGCATAATTTAATTGTATATTGGGTCAAAATCATACAAATAAGGAAATAGTTTCAGCAAATAGTTGTATAAACCAGAATGTCGCGATAAGATAATGGGGAAAGTGAGTTTAGGGCCTTGCTCAGAATCTTATGACACAAAAATCTAGGAGTTTTAAAATTCAAAGAATGAAATGACTGAAATTTGAAGATGATAAAAAAGATCCAGAGATGGGTTATATTTATACATAGCTGTAAATAGCATTGAGAACTTCCAGTTCTTTTATATGTGTTCCTATTGGTATATATGTAGTAGTTGCATTTCTCTCATGTATCATACAGTACAGGTGCCATGTTTTTGATATATACTAAAATATAGATGTATCACTCCTTAAAGATAGATCACAGTAGTTATGCAGTTGATTGTATATTTATTCTGTTAGGAGTGGAATCATTTCCTATGAATCTATCCTGAATATTGTCCATCTATATCTTTTTTAGTTTACTTTCAATCTTGATGTACCATAGCATTTGATGTCATAGAATGTGATGCATAGATTTTTTAGATATGATGGTACTCTTGTTCTTCTTTGAGCACTTTAGTTTGGTGTCTTTTATTTTAGTTGAAGTGCAAATGGGTGATTTTTTTGTGTAGGGTTCTTAAATTGTTTTTACTTTGAATTGTCAGTTTTCTTTCTGAAACTGAGTTGCAGGAGTAGAACAGTCATTGATACTCGGCATTCTTAACAAAATTGATTTAGCGTGGCAAATCAGGGGCAAATGTTTACCGAAGTTTTGCACTTTGTCTGTTTAATTGTAAATTCCTTGTAGTTTATAAAGAGTGAGATTGATGAACTTGAAATGGTAACATACTGTACATGCAGGCTACATCAGAGATTAGAGTAAAAGACCCAAATTCATAATGTAGCATATGTGTTGTTTGTGAGTTTGGTACCTTGAGAAATGTTGCATTAAAAAAAAAGATAGGAAAGCCCATTTACTCTGCAATATAGACATGTATACCCTGGTTATACCAGCTGTTTGTATATGAACAATTGTTCAGTAGTTACACAATTTTTTGATGTAGTACAATTTATCCTAGAGATTACTAAGAACACTCTGATGCTTTGATTTTGACCAGATTAGAACTCAGTGCAATATAATGATTATTTACTCTCAAGAATCACTCCATGGTGTTATTAGTTTACATAAAATATTTCATTATAAATCTAGTTCATGAGGACTAGTAAAAGCCACACCTGAAGGAAGTCCGCTTGTCTCAGATTAAGAATATAGGGAGTTTGTGGTAATAATCACTCCTCTCTCTTTTCTTTCTATGTTAGTTTTTGTATTTTTTCAGATTTGTCTATCAATGCATCATTAACAAAATATTTACAATCCGGATATATATATATTTTTTTATATTTCAATGGTTAAAGTAAAAGGAAGAAGAGATAGAATTAATGCATCTTAAAACAGATGCTTACTTGCCTAGCACTGTAGAGATTGTTACCGTCTATGCTTGACCCCAGTGGCTGAATTTCAGTATTACTCATATGGCAAGATTTCCCATGCGCACAGGCACTCATGCCTGCATACATGCACATACCGATACACGTGCACATTTAGATACACATGCACATTTCTTATACACGTGCCCATTCAAACATACATGCACATTCCGAGAGGTAACATGTACCCATTCAGATAAATGTGCACATGCAGATAAGTATACATGTACAGGTACACATGTACATGCTGCATCAAACACACAGACATGCCCCCCCACACACATATATACACATACATATATATATATATGGAGATACACATATACAGGGAGACACCTGCATACATGGAGACACACATAAGGAGATAGACACACACATCGACACACGCATGGAGATGGACAGGTCCACATGCGCAGGCAGGTCCACACACACATATATACATGCAAACACAGATACACACGCACATCTATACATGCAAACACAGATACACACGCACATCTATACATGCAAACACAGATACACACGCACATCTATACATGCAAACACAGATACACACGCACATCTATACATGCAAACACAGATACACACGCACATCTATACATGCGAACACAGATACACACGCACATCTATACATGCAAACACAGATACACACACACATCTATACATGCAAACACAGATACTCACGCACATCTATACATGCAAACACAGATACACATGCACATCTATACATGCAAACACAGATACACATGCACATCTATACATGCAAACACAGATACACATGCACATCTATACATGCAAACACAGATACACCCGCACATCTATACATGCAAACACAGATACACCCGCACATCTATACATGCAAACACAGATACACATGCACATGTAGATGCGCGCGCACACACACACACACACACACACACACACACACACACACACACACACACACACACACACACACACACACACACTCTCTCTCTCTCTCTCTCTCTCTCTCTCTCTCTCTCTCTCTCTCTCTCTCTTTCACATGTAGGCACATGCTTTCCCACATAGGCATATGCTTTCACATCGAGTCATATTCTTTCACAAGGAGGTAAACTCATGTACACATACACATACATGTATACATATATGCATATATGTACATGTGTATATGTATGTGTGTATATGTATGTGTGTATATGTATGTGTGTATATGTATGTGTGTATATGTATGTGTGTATATGTATATGTATATATGTATATGTATATATGTATATGTATATATGTATATGTATATATGTATATGTATATATGTATATGTATATATGTATATGTATATGTATATGTATATGTATATGTATATGTATATATGTATATGTATATGTATATGTATATATGTATATTGTATATGTATATATGTTATATGTATATGTATGTGCATCTATGTATATATGTATATGTTATATGTATATGTATATGTATATATGTATATGTATATATGTATTGTATATATGTATATGTATATATGTATATGTATATTGTATATGTATATATGTCTATGTATATATGTATATGTTATATGTATATATGTATATGTATTATATGTATATGTATGTGTATATGTATATATGTATATGTATATATGTTATGTATATATGTATATTGTATATATGTATATGTATATATGTATATTGTATATGTATATGTATTATGTATATGTATATATGTATATGGTATATATGTATATGTATATATGTTATATGTATATGTATATATGTATTGTATATATGTATATGTATGTGTGTATATGTATGTGTATATATGTATATAGTATATGTAT